CCTCTATAACCTGCGACCATTAGAGCTCTAGAAAATTTAAATGTTTGTGTGAAAAAAAACATGAAAGCTTCATTCCCCTCTTTTATTTAATACAAGCAAAGTCTCTCACAGCAACAAGCAAGGAGCAGATGGTGGCGACATCAGAGTGTAATGTGTGCGTTAAAACATAGCTGTGTTCTCATTACACTTAGATGAATTTCAGTCTATCTCATACACTGCACGGTCAAGTTACTGTGAGATCAAGACAAGGAAGGAAAACATCAGTCACATGACCAGTGTGTGGTAAACAAGCTCTCCAAGCACTCTAAATATCAACACAAGTTACATGAACATTGCAACCTCATGGTCCATAAATTCAATACGGGATACGCATCACTGACAGGCGACACAGATCCTCTCACGCTGATGGTGCAAACCTCAAGCTGTGAGGTCAAAGGTCAATAAGTTATTTGTCCGGTGAATTATCGTCACATCCGTTGCACTTATTTGTACTTCACATGATTTCAGTCCTTAGGTCAATTTTCCATCAGCATTCAAGCATAAAATACTAACATAAATTCGAACGACAACTCCTCTGGGGTTGCTGTGATTTACTGGACAGGACCACAAACAAGTACACACTTTAACCTATTTTGGTTCTGTTCACTCCAAGTATGTTGAATTATTCACAGGGTGGCCATAAGGGGAATGGGCGTAGTAATGCTGGACAGGGGCCATGCATGGAAAACCCTCATAAATAAAACAACATTTGACAAATAAGCTTGAAGCCAGTCGAGTGAGCCCACTGCCTCGCTATGTAAGTCTATAGCCTTCACTGACTAATTACAAATTGGTCACAAGCTGTTATAGACTTACAGTATGTCTCCACTTGGTTGTGCAACAATTCCACATTGACCAATTCCTTTTAAACACTGCTTTAGCTTTAAACAATGAACAACAAAATCCTAAAAAAAAAAACCCTAAAAAAACCATCTAATTTGCAAGATTATTATCAAGGCCTTTTGTGTATACAGTATTCCCACAGCAATATCTCATAGTACACTTTCCTGTCAGCCCAAGGCTTTAAATGCAGTTAGGCTGTAGATGCAGCTGAATAAGAAGCTGTACTTTGCAACTGGAGCTTTGAACTTCTTAATAGCCTTAAATTGGGAATGAAACAGTGTCCCATAGCAAAACACTGCACTTCTAGGCCACTCATGTCTCCTATAATACAGAAACACATTAATGCTTAACCTTCTTCTTGACGGTTCAGAACCTGACTTGCTTTCCCACGCCCAGTACTTTTACCGCCATTCACTCAACTCCCTGCTTTCTCCAAATCACGGTCTGCAGAAGTCAGGAGGGCAGCATGCCTGCACAGTGAGCACACAGTTTGAGCTGGAATATAGTGAAGCCAACACAGGTGTCTGATGGCTGGCATCTGCTGGGTGGGCTCATTCCAGCGCAGCACTGCAGAAGCTTAGGGGGGTGCTGAGAGAAACCCTATACCTCTGTAGAGCAGTCAGGGGCAAAACAACACAGCCTCACTACTGGTGATGCTCATCAGCTGTGACCGTGCCAGAGACCCTTCCAAGTACATCACTGTAATCTCTCCGTCTGGGATCTGCAGATCTGCAGGAGGCTCACTATTCCATTGCGGACACACAACAGAGATTATGGACACGCAACAAAGATTAGTGATACCATGGAGTAAGATGGTGATTATGCATGTAGGATGGAAGGATAAATATATGGATGGATGGATGAAAGAAAAATATGTGGTTGGATGAGTAAAATAATGAATGAAAGAACAATTAGATGAATGGAAGGGTGAATGGGTGAAAAGACAGACATGTCAATGGGTGTATGGATGGTTAGATGGACCGACAAATGTCCAGTCCTCTCTATATATGCTTCTTCAGCTAACCAAGGCAGACTGACTCAAAGATGAACGCTGCACAAGTGCAATCATAGCATAAAAAAACATTTAAAACGTCAGACAAATAGACATTCAGTATTAAATGGTTTCATCAGTCTGGTTACAGACTTCATAACTGGATTAAGCTACTGCAACAACATACCTGTATTCATATTTCATGTGATGCCAAGTTTAGCAATGGCTGGTAGTAAAGTAGGTTCACCTCAAAATGTCAGGAGGCAGCGCTCAGAGACCTGAGCTGAGAAACCACTCAACACTTGATCAAGACGCAGAGACCTCACTACAAATGAATGCTGCTGAAACACAGTCACTATAAAGAGAGGCCAAAACTATGTGACAGCCTCTCTTTACATTCTCTGGCTGCTTCAGTATTTTGCTTCACCTCAATACCAGAATGACTGCATTCCTGCAGGAACAGAAATTTCATATTGTTCTATTGAAGGCATTCACTGTGACAAGAGCCATTGCTTACTTGACTCCAAATTAAGATTAATTTAGTCCCTGTGTTACATTTAAGATAAATAATCTGTGGAGGTGTTTAGAGGATGGGTAAGAAGACAAAATGAGTGAAATAACAAGACAAGGCAATCTGCTGTGATTCTGAGCGAGTTGATGGTGATCCAAACTAGTGTTTGGATTAAGAGTCTTAAACCACTGTATCCTATCCACCCTTAAGCCCCAAGAAAATAGCCTCGCTGCTGACAAGCAGTTATGGAAGCCAGCTCTTGGCTTTGTCCCTTGTCTTGAACAGTGCAATAGGCTGCTGACAGTTTCTCATCAACATAAGCCGGGCTGTTGCAATGACAGGAAGTGTTTGTCTCAATCAGCAGGTTGCTTGGATGAATTCTGGGAGTTGAGCCTTGCGCGCATAGCATTCTTAGTTCCCACACCCTGCCTCCCTACTCCGTGACCCTCCACGCCAGGAACAAAACCCTGGGAATGTGAGCTATGCAGAGCTGCAGCGCGGAGACACCTGTTCAGACAACCAACACAGGGCAAAGTCTCCTACACGGGCCTCGTCTGGGCCACCGCATCCAACCCCACCCTGACCTCGACTGCCTCCATATACACACTCTGGCACTGAGGACACAAAAATCAAGAAACAAGCTTTTATTTTCATGTCACAAGGGCACTCACACAGGCCAGGCCAGCCAAGACAATTTCCAGGTAGCAAACCTTTGCAGCTCTTACAAACATTTACCTCTTGTATGATGTATCCAATCACTTCATTAAAGAGACTATGAGCTCATTTACATGTAAAGCAAGGGCATAATGAAACCGTCACACACTTGTCAGGATGGGAAGCTACTAACCTCATAAACGAGAAAGCCGGAGAAATGAACTGGACTAAAATACTTCTCCTGAGAGACTCTCCCTACACAGCTGGGATACAGACTAAAGACCCACAACCTTTTTGTAGGCAAGATTTAAAAGAAGAATTAGGCTATTCCCAGTGAGAGCGTAGGGGCTGGCCAAAAAGGCAGACAAACCACTGAGGTTTCAGAGTTTACACAGAGAAATGTCAGCTTTCTCAAGATCCCCTTTAGTGGCATTCAAATACAAGAGAGAGAAGGTCATCCTCTTACTGTAGTTCTCTTTTTCTCACAGCCAGAGCGCCATAACAGTGACGAGGAGACCAACAGGAAGCAACATTAATGAATAATGGGACATCATGCAGACACTGTCAAGTAAGCAGTGAGGTTTCTAATTAATGAAGCTACACACTATTAGACACTGATCAATATGGAATGTTTTGAAAGCAGTATGCTTTGTAACAAGGAATGCAGTTTCTTGGTTGACTAATGTACCTGTAACGATGCTCTTCCAACCTTAGTTGTACAAGCGGTTTAACATCTGAATTAACTTTTTTCCCCCAGCGCCTAAAGATCAAGTTCAGCACTTCTGCTGAATGATGGCCATGTGTGCATTCAAGAAGTATGCAGACTCTGTCCAGTGGAACAAATGACTTAATGGAATGCAAAATTACTACCGACGTCTTGGGTCTCTCTGATTTTCTTATACCACATGAAGAAATAGAGGCATTTTCATGTCAAAGTAAAGATACACAAGGGTCTTAAGTATCCCATGTGATAACATTCATTTCACAGCATATCCTCATGCAACAGTGGTTATGAAGGAATGATGTAAGACAAAACACAGGGTGTCCCACTTCATTATAATATACAAATTAAAAGTATGCAAAACAAATGGCTGTGTTGGGTTGTAATGGAAGCTGGCCAAGTGCTGAGTCTCCCAGTGAGCAGTCAGCTCAGAGGCTTGGTGCTGTCAGCCAGTGACAAGCTCTGGGTCACCACACTTGACTATGCAGGACACAAGGGCTCTGTATTCCCTCTGGCCATGCTACATGGCATACTGTACTTCCTGGAGAGTAGGAACTCCGTGCGATTAGGGTGTGGGTGTGTGTGTTTGTGGAAGTTGAGGGGTTGTGTCACGAGGAAATATTCTCATTATGGTTTGTGTGTCTATTAGCATGCTTAGACTATTATAGTTGTACGGCCACAAGAGGTTCTAGGGTAGGTTTTGTACTTTTTAGCATTACTATAACAGCTTGTCATTTTAATTACAAAGCAAAAATATTAGACCTTCACCAAAGCTATATTCACTTTCCCACGGAAACTCTACAAGAGATGCCAGGTGAAATTTTATTGAAACAAATGTCACTAAAAAGTCATATTAGTGAATAATTGCACATGAGTGTGCATAGGGTACGCTTTTCTAATAAGTAACGTACTTTTTCAGTATGTACATCAATGGCTAGGCTCCCAGAAGGTTACATTATTATTATTAATGCACCTCGCTATTAGCAACAAGTTCGCTGTTAGGTTAAATTACTGCATTAGCCCATGAGTAACTTACACACAAGCCGAGTAACGTTAATACAGTACTGTTGCTCTGTCATTAGTCGTATTAACATATAGCTACATGCTCTGCATTTCCCATAAAGTCATAAGGATATTTTCGACTGTTTAATTAACACTGTAACAGCCTCTTTGTTTTCATCGGCTTGACAATAATGATACAAGTGTTTAGCGAGATACAATTTGTTGGTAACGTTACTCACTTTGCATCGGAGGTCGGAGTTGAATGGTTTCTTGCTGGTCACAATGTTACTCCAAAGGCTCCTTCGACAATAAAACTTTCAGTTGTTTGATTTTCCCCTTTAGAAAACGTGATTCGTTCCTTCAAAAGCTCCTTAAGTCCTCCACGCTCTCTTCCGATGTCTCCTAAACACAACCTTTCAAAATGTTACGCCTCGGCTGTGCCACTCTCCAAGACAGATAAAGAGGTCTGTCAAGGGGCTGATTTGGAAACGGTTTGTTTATTTAGACGCAACGTTAACGGCTGGATTTGTGACAACACAAAGCTGTTCAGAGATCTGTGCCGTACAGGGGTTTCGCTACAGAGGCCGCCCAATCTGTTCGCTCATTGGTCGGTATTATATTAAGGCGTGCCCATTGGTTAGGTCCTGTATTTTTATTGGTTTGTGGTATTGTCAATCACCAGCTAATGCCTACGCTGTAAATTCGCTTCTCCGCCGAAAGGAGACACCAAAACAATTGCACTTGGACAGCACCCTTCTCCGAGAAATAGTTTTTATAGAAATATATACATATTCATAAGAAACTGCAATTTACAAAACATAAAGGTAAAAAACACAACAAAACATTGACATAAAACACAATATCACAGAGTACGGTTTATAGACCTGCACTTTTATGAGAAGTGCTATGAGATAACTGTTTTTTGCGATATATAAATAAAATTGAATTGAAATTGAATTGAATTGAATAAAGGATGGCGACTGTACATCGCTAAAAGATGGGCCAACTGCCTTCAGTCATATTCAACATGAATTACCGGCACATATGGTTTATTAATGTATACCTGCAGGGCCAGACAGTGCCTAATGTCAAACAGAACTTTTAATTCTACTTGCACATATGGTGGTGGCTCTGTGTTATAAAATCACCGACTACAAATTATTTTTGCTCATATGTTTTGTTTTGTTTGGTATTTTGATGCACCATACTTCTAATATATTCCAATGTTTTGTCTTGATGTTTTTATATGTTTTGTCAGCTGCTAAACCAGTTTTTATACCCTGGCCCTGAGAGAACAATTATTTGGTGGGGTAAGTTGTGGGTATCAGTTGGTTCAGTTTTGTTGCTTTGATACTAGTGATGTTAAAGTGGTTTGATAGCTCCCCCTACAGGTCTTGTTGAGACAGAAAGCAACAAGTGTTCAAATCCAGAAAAGGCACTTTGTATAGGATGGGTTTATTCTACCGAAGGATTCTTTTGAAAAAGTAAATAAAATGTATTAAAAAAGCTTTAGTTAGACGAGTCTTTCTCTTCCTGAGAAATCTTTCTCAGTGGTTTCTTTTTTTATAAAAAGCAGACAGCATCTGTAAGATTGAGCATACAGACTCATACAGAAAAATATGTTTGTGTGGCTATCCGCCTGGCTGCGTGAGTGTGTGTGAACGAGTTCCAGAAATGTGCTTACAATAGAAGCACCCCCTTTTGTTCCCCCTTGTCACTACATTTAAGTGCGTTGTGTTCCAAAACGCTGAACCACAGCTTCTTTTGTCCTCAGCCTGGGATATTATGTGGGATATATTGACTGAGAACAATGGGCCGAGTAGCCCTCCTCTGACAGATACTCACTCTGAACCATCAATACAACCTGGTCACAGCCACAGCATGTGAAGAGACTGCTGTTTCATTTCAACTGGCTGGACTTGAAAATTATCATTGGATTCCAGGAAAATGCCCAAGTTGGTACTTGTGGTACTCTGTAATGCTTCGTCTTAGATATATAGCTATACTGTTACTTATAAAGTGAAAATGGGATTTGTGATGCGAACATATAGTAATCATGATATCGTTTTGGTGGATAGTCTGTAGTTACACAATTATCACAGCAAAGGTTGTAATCTCTCGGGGAATATGGGAGTATTTAGTATTAATTTACCTTGCCTGCGATGTCAATGTATAACCACTAGATGTCAGGAGCGAACAAGTCACTGCTTGCCTTTATTGGCCTATAAAACATTATTGCATGATTGCAAATTGACTACCTTAATAATTTATAATAATAATTATAATAGTTGGGTTTTTGTTATTGTAGATTTGTAGATTATATTTTATCAAACGCAACAGCAAAAATGAAAGGGTTAGGGCTACAAGTTTTTGAGACGACTTGATTCCACTCCAGCCACTGTGTCCCGGATGTTGCCATCGGAAGGGGGAGGTGGAGAATGGGGGTTGCAGTCAAGGTTGCCAGCTATGTACAATACCCACATTTGGCATTCGTATTTGATAGGGTTTTCTGAAATACTCAATTACATGGGAGCGCCATTGACAAAATCATAATCCTGACACCTGAACGTACTTGGGGATTTGAAATTGTATTCCTCCCAAATTTGTGTTACAAACACAGTGCGTATTAAGGAAATGTGCAAATATTTTAGTGTAAGTAGTAGTTGATGAAAGAAGAATATGCACATATAAACCAACAAACAATAGCACCTCTTGTTTGTTAAATGACATACCATGATTGACATTTTTCGTGCTAGTAATGACTTAGACAGGTCTTCGCATACTGGTGAATGTCTAATATCTGGCAACCCTGAGCGCAGCTCTACTGCTACGTTTCCTCGGCAGATAGATACTCGGCTGTATGTGTCTGAGTGGGAGATGGACTGAGTGAGGGCGCTCTTCCGACCAGTGCTGCCGATAGCATTGAAATACCCACTAGCTAGGTTGAAATAATTGACGATTTCGGGTCGCTGAATCAACAAGAAAACATAGTACCGTTATCAATCTTTCACATCCCACTCCAAACACACTAACACGGCATTGATGGTAATGTATGCAAGGAAACAACCGAGACTCGGCGATGGGTAAACATCTTTTTAACGTTACTTATTCAGATTTTCCTTTTCCTCGTAGCTACGCTTTGACAATCCGCCATTTTTATTGAAACCAAAATAAGTGTTTGGAAACTTGCACGTTCAGCTGTTGCAGCACTTTGAACTATTACTCAACGTTGACACTACAAGCTTCATATTCACAATTGTTTTCTTTATATTTGCAGGTGCGACCGAAGAGATTCTCAGCCCTATCAGGTACTTGTTAGCTAACCCTAGCTTGCTAGCAGCAAATAAGATTAAAATGGACACTCTAGTTCAGGCTTCTAAAGAGCACAGCAGGCCCCAGTCAGTGCGGAAAATAAAGTGAAAAAGTAAACGATTAGGTTTGAAATTTCATTCTGGGCGCTGCAAATATTTCCAAATGTAAATATTGTCAAGTAAAGACAACATATACTCAATGTATTCGTCGAATTCAACTGTTTCGTAAAATGTACGGGATAGTTTTATTGAAGCTCAAAGCTAATGATAGCCTGTTACTGTTAGCTTGCATGCTAGCCAGTCCGATTAGGGCCTGACCGCAATCTGTCATTTTAAGGATATAGCTAGCTAAGCTCTCGAAACATCAACTTGCTCGAAAGATATACTGTAAACTAATGTACTAACAATTAAATTCATTATGTTGTTAATAAGCACAAACGAAGGCTAACACTAATTTGTCTGTTAAAACTGTCTGTTTACTTTGTCATTATCAGAAATGATAAATGTGTCAGCATAACGTTATATAAATATATTGTTACCAAGTGAGAAACTACTGAACAGCCATTCTAGCATACGGCTACTTTGTAATGTTGCAAACGAAAGAGCTAACAGAGACAAAGCTGCTGCTTTCAAATAATGAATAATATAGCTACATGAATGGAGATTAGCCCTGCAAATTAATTCCAGAAATTTTAAAATAAGGATGCATAAGTATTTGTAGTATGTTGAGCAGCCAAACTTGATGTTGAACAAGATGCTAACACTGGTTTGAGAAACCTCATCATGATGATGACAAAAGGATGAAATAATTGTACACACAAGATACTAGATTGTAGTGAGGTGTTGGATTTGTGTCTGCAGACTCTCAAATACTCGTCCAAGAGCCATCCAGGAGGGGACCACCGACATGAAAAGATGCGAGACTCATCAGATGTCACTCCTCCCTGCAAAGTGCTCAAGAGGTCTGACAGCCCTGATAACAAACACGTCGACAGCACAGGGCACAGCAGAGCAAAGGCTGTCCACACACACCGGGCCAGAGACAGGGATGGAGGTGAGACACAGTTGTTATTGAGAATCAAAAGGGTGTAATGCTGCCATGTAAGCCAGAAACAGGGGGTTGCTTTTCCTACTAATGTGCTACCTTTAAAACTGAGAGCTTTAACACTGAAACTTATTTTTATTTACCCTCTGACATAAGTAAAGTCTGCTTTATGCGTGTTTATATGATGAAGTAGTAGATATCCCAGCTGTTGTAGTTTGGACCAAACAGAAAATAGATGCGCAGATGAACTTGAGCAGCAACCAACTGAATTTCTATTAAATCAAGAAGCGTTTTATTTTTACCAGTTGGACAAACCACGGCTGTCAGCAGTTGGTTTAACAGCCATTGTGGTTTTAATAATTGTTACTAACCTTAGATGTTTTGTGAATGTGTTTGGATACTAATGCTGTGTAGTGAAAAGTAAGTCCCAAAAACACACACAGCCCAAGCATCCAGGTATTGAAGGAATTATCTTGTGAGAGGGGATTTGTGTCTTTTTGCATTGTGTAGGGGTTATATACCTGAATGTGTACATTAGCTGGTCACTGACAGTATGTCAGAAGGATATTTTATCGATGTTTGAAAAGTGCTTTTTCAGTGATGGAAAGTGGAAGTCAAAGTTAGACTGGTTTTAATCTTGTTGGAGATACAGTATTTTTTTCTAACATAAACATAAGGAAACAAAATATTCTATTTTTTCTCAAAAGTTTATCAATTGACCGTCAGTTTGATCCGTCCATGCAGTGTATGAGAAAGCATTATTGGAATGTATAATCTTAGTTAAATGTGAGAATACTGTTGAGTTGCTAGAGGGGAGTTTGCATAACATGATGTTTTGTTTAGTTAGTTTTTCAAAGTGATACATTAATGAAACATTTTTGAACTAATGTTGAACAGCCGCACTCACAGTTCTGTGTGTCTAGTAACTATGGATAGTATTGCAGGGTTTCCCTCGCTAACAGAGGCCCGGTAGAGATGTTGCCAATGGGGTGGGTTACATTGTAGATCTACAGTTGAAAATATGACCCTGAGGAACATAAATAAAAATAATTTGTGTACAGGTTTTAAGAGACACTGTGTTGCATTTTATTTTGATATCTCTGGCATTGAAATGGCGTCTAAGGCTTCAGACACTAACACAGGCTTTAAAAAGCAACAGTACCAAAGTAAGAGCTTTGATTATTTCAGCAGGCTTCTGTTATTAGTTTAAGGTTATGGACTACCCCTTATTGGCTACTCATAATGAGTGCCTTTTGGTCTAGACAACATCAATCTTTCTACTATCGGCTTCGTGTGTCATTACATTGCAGGTCAGGTGGTTGTCATACAAGTAGTGTTAACTGGTGAAATATATATATATTTTTTTTGTTGTTGTTGTTTCACTGTCAAATCAACCAAGTGTCGTTTTACATAACACGTGTGAACAAAAAAAAATAATTTACAACTTGACTGGAGAAAAGAAGAATACAGATGTAAACAATATTGATATAATTGTTGGTTGCAAAAAACACAAAGACCACATTGGATGACTGACTTTTTTTTCAGTCTGACAGTTTCAGTATGTTTTATCAGTTAACCTAAACGAAGATCTATCATCTACCAGAATTTACACCCTGATTTCAAAGTTGAACTGTATCACACGTGAACTGATTTAAGATATTTCAGCTTGTAGTTTATAAGTACAATAGGTCAAATGACTACCTGTAATGTTAAAGGTGTTGCTTGTAGTGATGAACCCACAGATAATTATCACCCCACTCAACAGTCCCTCTCAGCTCTGTGGAACGTTTCTGTATCTTCCAGCTCATTGTTTTCTGGCCCACAGCTTTACTGTTTTGGTTTACTCTTACCACTGTCATTAGCCCTGTTTCTAGCCGCAGCAGGCAGCTATTCTCACGAAGCCATCAATAATATACCTACTGTACACTACCTTCCCAGCGTGAAATAGCAGACAAACAGTTAGCAACTAGCTAGTGAACATAGCGGAGTGTTTTGCAGCTATAGACCCAACTAATTATTTTTAGGAGTCAGTGGATACCAAAACAAAATAAGCCATGTGTCAAATTTGATTGAGCTTATTGAGGATTTCTGACAGATTGCAGCGTCAAATTATTTAGTTGATCACTTCTGTTCACCTCATTTTTAGCTTGTGAACATTGTAGGCTGCTACTCAAAATAAAAATAAAAAAATCTGTTTTCACAGCTGAAATGTGAATACGGATTTTTACCAAATCTTTTTAATTTTTTGTTGTTCATAAGTTAAGTTGCTTGCAAATGTTGACAGCTGCACCAAATTATATTTGGTAAGACATTTCAAAAGCTTTGGTTCCTATAGGTTTGTTAAATGCAACTCTAGTCCTGAGCTGGTTGGTATGGTGGTCAGCAGTGGCAAACAAACTCACTGGGTAGTGAAAGTGATGTTCCCTCCATATTCCAGTTATAAGTAGTCTCAAATACTACTTTTTTTTCTTTTCTTTCTTTTACATTTTTTATTGTTGCTCTGTCCAAAGTACTGTTGGAAACATTTTAGTACTTTAGATGAGCACATATGAATCTTTGAAATGCAGTTGAAAATTAATTCTGTATTCATCCTTGTATGACCTGCTTGCCAATCACACGCACCATGCTTCTATGGGTCCTACTCACCAATCAGAGTGGGCACAGGGTGTGTACATTTTATAACAACAAATGAAACTTGAGGAAAACATGGGATCATGGCGTCAGGCGTACAGACACAGGCAGCGGCTGTGCCACGGTCTTGTTCGGCGTCAGCTCACACTGAGATCTTTCAGCAGCGGAGCATTTAGCCTGCGCTATGTTTTTGACGCGTTGTTTATTTGTCATTTTGTGTGCTTTAAGTACAGATAACAGCTCTCAGTGAGCCCGTTTTGTTCCGCTCTGTGCAGGCTACACATCCCACATGGAGCATTTCAGGATAAGAGCATTTTGCCTGTCTGATTTTGCTGACGTGTTCAGATTTTGTTAATTTGTTCAGTTGTGCTTGCTTTTTGTGCTTCTACCGTGGTTGAGTAGGCTACATAGTTGAATTGTTTCTTTTTTGTCTGTTTTAACTGTTTATTATTATTTATTATATATGTGACCTGGGGCCTCTACCACGGAGTGAGTTCAATACACCCAGGATATCTTTTAGGTATCTGGCTCTGGGCGGTGAGGCAATGTCAAAGTCAATGTAAAGACGCGATTTCCTGTTGGGCGGCGCGAAGCGTTGCAAAGGGGGCAGTGCCAGCGATGCGAAGGAAGGAATTGGAGTTGAATATTTTCAACTCAAGCGAGAAAGTCGCTTGACGCTGAGTCGAGATAGCCTATCAGCGTTGAGATTGTCCGTACGTCACCGACGGCTTCAGAGCTTTGTGTGGAGAGGGCCGGGCAGAGCGGAGCTCCAGCTTTTGGACAAATCAACACCTGTAGTCGGACTGGATTATGCTCTGACAACTACGCCGTTTGGAGTAAATGCTTTTTATGAAATTAGCTTTTTACTTTAGTTTTTGGGATTACAACGTTGATTTATCTTCACACGAGCTTCTTAGCCGCTAGCTTCCATGCACATCCGGTTCCACTGTTATCATGGTTTGGCAGGCAGAGCTCTGTTGGACTACTAATTCATATTTATATAAAAAAACGAACAAAACTGGACATTGCTGTGAGAAAAGAAAGCGAGGAAGTTGAACTACCTGGTGAGTTCAGAAAACATGTCTGTAACTTTATTCCAGCTATCATTTTACTTTACTGTGACCAAGTTAGCATAACACAGCCCTGATCAATCCAAACTCCATTCAGAAAACAAACATTTTAGAAGTTGTTGTCCTGCTGACAGACCTGACAAAGCATGAATTCATATGTTTAACAAATCTGCATCATATTGTAGTTATTTCGGCATCGGTTTGATCCGTTTATTGCTATTTAATCACAGCAAAATGTTTACTTTGGGTTCATACAGCTGTAGTATTGGCGAGTTGTGGTTATTGCATTGTGTGTGAACGCTCAGCAATAAAACCCCTGTGAGGAAGGCGTTGCATGGATTAAATTTGCGTTTGGTCTGAATGCTGCATAAGTAACGCAGCTGACACATGCAGGGAGACAGAAAATCGCAGACAGTGTGAATGCCTGAGTGAAGAGGCGTAGTCTATAATAAGAATGCGTTGATTTGATGTGTTCTTAAGAGCTGTATGAAAATATCAGCCTTATTCTTTCAGCTCGGCTGTGTGTCGGTGTTTCCACATTGAAAGACTCGATCTCTCTTTAAAAAAGTTCTTGTCACTTCAAAATTATGTTTTAGGCTAATTTATTTATCATCATCAAGTGTTTCAAACATTGTTCTAAATTAACTTCAGAAAAGTGCTCAAAGAGTGGTTGAAAGACTGAATTTCAACGTTTAGGCTACTGAAAACTACTCAAATACACATCGCAAAAGGTGGGGCAGAACATGACCAGTCTCTGTAGTAGGCCTATAAGAAAGCTACTAACCTAAAATACATAGCCTATGTTCATATTAAAATTTATTTCAATATCCCTCATAATATTCAGCCTCACATATGGTAAGAAAAATTAAATCCATTTATTTTAACAGCTGTGACAGACTGTGTGAAGCGGACTGGGGAGCAAATACAAAATGTGAAACGCAGTTAGTAGGCTTACTGTAAAAACCTGTAGGCCGTATAATAGCCTAAGGCTTTTAGTCAGTTCAGTCTCTGTAGGATGATATTGCTATAGCCTACAAGAGTTTCTCCGTATCACCACAGCAAATATAAAAGCAGCCTATAAAACAGTCTGTGGGATTTCCTACAGATGATGATGTCATTTTCCAAGAGAACTGATTGGTCAGTAGGCGGCGTTTTCTTAGAGTTGATCTCTTATTTGGAGCATAACCTGCAGGTTAGCTGTTCAGCGTAAGTTACCATGGTGATCTGCCCTGGTAAGAAGTGAACCACCATTGTGGTACTGAAAACCCAGGGTTAACCCCGAAGGTACCTGGATAAGCTCAAATCCTG